TTAAATGGAGGTCTCATTCTGCCACATATTTATCTTTCTCTCTTACTAAGTTCAAGGCATTGTGTTCACAGTAATTGCTGCCCAAAAGTTCCCACTGCTTCATATTACAACTTTCCTGTGATTTATTATGTTAATTTACTGCCCCTAATACAGAAAAACCCTATTTTTTACTCCTACTGCTCTACCTTCAAGAGTGCATACAGAACTCCCTCTGTTCATCACTTAGCACCTAACATTGGAAAAACACAACACTTTGTACTAATAATTTGAACCTAACCAACAAGTTCTGAGCTTTTAATATTCATTGTATAGGTGATATGCTCACAAAATTAATTTTTGAGCTTTCTCTAAGTCAAAGAACAATATCAACTCTTAGGTTTACATTCTGTCTATTACCAAATCCATTTACAGAATATATCTTCGCTCAAACAGCAGAAGTAAACTTTGCACCTGTAGGAAGCTATCATTGGCTCTAAAAATATGAATTCTAATCTACAGTTGTCTTGAGAAATATGTGAAGAACATTAAAAATACTAAGATTAAGGCCTTACTTAATTTGTGATAAGAAATTGTGGATTCCACAATATTAGGCTTCCACTGCAGTTTTGACAGTGGGAGCCCCAGCGTGAGCACTGCTCTTAGCCCCAGGTTGCCAATAGAGGAGCCCCCACTCTCAGCCCTGAGCAGCGGCTCTGAGCCTCGGGCTGCTGAGAGCGTGAGTTGCCGCTCTCAGCCCTGAGCAGCCGGCGGGAGCCCCGTCTGTGCTCATCTCCAGCTAAGTGTGCTCAGCCTCGGGCTGCTCAGAGCGTGAGCTGCCACTCTCAGCCCTGGGCTGCGGACAGTGGAAAAGCGTGGAAAAGTAATAATGGACCTTATTACTGCAAATAATAAGGTCCATTATTACTTTTCCATGATTTTCCATGGCTTGTCCGCAACTGAGCTACAATTTTTTGACAATCATCCCATGATTCAAGTAGGGCCTTAATTAAGATGTAATTTGAAAATTAGGTTAGGATTTGGTAAAATGTCACTGACATCTTCATTAGCTGTTGACTCCAAAGTACAATCTTAGTGTGTTGGATTTCAGTAAAAATCTGTGTACCTGAATTATTGATGCTACAAAGCCTTCTCAGGAAACAGTAACTTGGATGATTTTTTTCTTCTGGAAACTTTTACAAGATCTGATCTTCTCTGGTACATAAATATACTCTAGTATATTTGTAGCTACAGCGGTATTTACATTGCTATATTTATGCGTTTTCCGTCTGTCTAGTCCTTCCCTCCCTCTTTCTCTGTCCTATCAAATAGGAATAGTATACAGAGTCAGGAGAGTGTGGCTGTCATAAATATAAAGGGAAGGGTAAACCCCTTTGAAATCCCTCCTGGCCAGGGGAAAGCTCCTCTCACCTGTAAAGGGTTAAGAAGCTAAAGGTAACCTCGCTGGCACCTGACCAAAATGACCAATGAGGAGACAAGATACTTTCAAAAGCTGGGAGGAGGGAGAGAAACAAAGGGTCTGTGTCTGTCTGTATGCTGGGTCTTTGCCGGGGATAGACCAGGAATGGAATCTTAGAACTTTTAGTAAGTAATCTAGCTAGGTACATGTTAGATTATGATTTCTTTAAATGGCTGAGAAAAGAATTGTGCTGAATAGAATAACTATTTCTGTCTGTGTATCTTTTTTGTAACTTAAGGTTTTGCCTAGAGGGGTTCTCTATGTTTTTGAATCTAATTACCCTGTAAGATATCTACCATCCTGATTTTACAGGGGGGATTTCTTTATTTCTATTTACTTATATTTTTTATTAAAAGTCTTGTAAAAAACTGAATGCTTTTTCATTGTTCTCAGATCCAAGGGTTCGGGTCTGTGGTCACCTATGCAAATTGGTGAGGCTTTTTATCCAACATTTCCCAGGAAAGGGGGGGGTGCAAGTGTTGGGAGGATTGTTCATTGTTCTTAAGATCCAAGGGTCTGGGTCTGTAGTCACCTAGGCAAATTGGTGAGGCTTTTTACCAAACCTTGTCCAGGAAGTGGGGTGCAAGGTTTTGGGAAGTATTTTGGGGGGAAGGACGCGTCCAAACAGCTCTTCCCCAGTAACCAGTATTAGTTTGGTGGTGGTAGCGGCCAGTCCAAGGACAACGGGTGGAATATTTTGTACTTTGGGGAAGTTTTGACCTAAGCTGGTAAAGATAAGCTTAGGAGGTTTTTCATGCAGGTCCCCACATCTGTACCCTAGAGTTCAGAGTGGGGGAGGAACCTTGACAGTGGCATAATTACCATGTATGTACACTGTGTTAATATCAGTTGTCTTTTGCTTGTGTGTGTGACATTTTTAATCCTTTGCGTTAAGAATTATTTTTAATTGACTTGTTTAACTACATGTGCCTCCTGATTTCTTAATATTTAATAAAAGACCAGTTTTTTCCTTCTTCTTTTTTCTTTTTCAGAAAAAAAGACTTTGTTTTCATAGTAAACCTGGCAATTATGAAGTGAAATTAAACAAAGCTATAGGGGAGCTACAAAAAATAGGCTTATGCAATAGGAACCTTAATATATGGAGCCATAGTCAGAGCACTCCCTAGTCAGAGCACTTTTGGGCTTAGGTTTTGTAGCTGAGGAAGCAAAATTTAACTGAGTTTTCAGCTGCTTAATGTTATGTTCTTTGGGAAACTTAGAATGCTAGGCCTCCAAGTAAAAAGCTATTCTAAAAATGTCTTTACTACAATGTTGGATTTTTAAAATACTTTCTAACTTCTGACATTAAATACAATTTTGGGCCTAAATTGAAAGTGCTTTTAGTAACTTGTTTTCTGGCTTTTATATTTTTCGGCTATTCCTATCAGATGGTCAGCTTTATGAATCTTACTTTCCTTGCACTTTTTTCAGTTCTTGTTGTGGTGTTTTTTAATGGTTATGCTGTGCTAATGCCTTTTTCTAGATATCTGACTTCCTTTTACTTAGGACCAAAGTATCTAGTTCTGAAGCACATTTAGGTCTTGAATATTTTTCTTTTTTATTTCAAAAAATTGCTGTAGTGAAAGGGATGCTATAGTTAAGAAGCTATTTAACTTCAGTACGTAATCACTTGAGAAATGTATGTTTTTTGCCACTAAGTAACAAGAAGTTAAGTTCTGATGAAATCTTTTTCAAATCTGAACAAACTCATAATGTGTTGCTCTTTTTCATTTTTTCTCTTCCTCCCCCTGTGTCTACATTACAAACGTCTACTGGCATAGTTCTGTCGGTCAAGAGGGCAAAGAAGTGTGATCCCTGATGAACATAGCTGTGTTGGCAGAAATCTGTAGAGTAGATTCAGCTATCTGCAAAACTGCGCTTTTAACTTGTTTCACTCATGGAATGGGAATGGCTTTCGTATTCTGATAAAAAGTGCAGCTTTGCTGGTGTAGCTGCGTCCACGCTAGGAACGTTCTGCTGGTATAGTATACCACATCCCTGTACCACTGTATAAAGTGCTGCTAGCATAGGCATAGAAGGGGGGTAAAACATTTTTTGAAGATATTTCCTGTTTTTGGACTATTAGGGCTAGTCTGCACTGGCAACATTTAAAGCGTTACCGTGGCAGCGCTTTTACGTGGCTTGTATAGTCGCGGCAGAGAGCTCTCCCTGCGCTCTAAAAAAACCCACCTCCATGAGGGGCGTAGCTACCAGTGCTGGTGCACTGTCTACACTGGTGCTTTACAGCGCTGAAACTTGTTGTGTTCAGTGGGATGTTTTTTCACACCCCTGAGCGAGAACGTTGCAGCGCTGTGCAGACAAGCCCTTATTCTCCCTTTATTTATTGATTGCAAGCCAAGCATTTAAATTTGCAAGTATTTGAATGAATTATTATAGTGTACTGTTAGGATTTGGCATTTGGGAGTAGAGCAGCAGCCATCTTGTATTAAAGAGGGAAATGATTTTGTTTCTTATTTTAGTGTAGGTTTTTCCTGATTTGATAAAGTTTCAGCATTTAAAAGGTTGTGTGGAGCTTGCTTGGTACTAGAATAATGGAAAACATTATTATGTTATCTAATCAATCATCTCTAATGCCTCCTACTACTAATATGGGATTTGTCCTTGAATTTTTTCTGCCATTCTGTGCTGATTAATGTTAATTATCTCTAAGGATTTGCGGGACGGGTTCACAACTTTCCTTGGAAAAGTGCTTATTTAAATGTAAGTCAGTACAGGATAATAACCCGTTTGCCGAGACTTGTCATAATGGATCACTGTGTTTGAATAATTTCATTTAGTAACCAGTAGAATGGTGCAGTTTTCAGACTCTATCAATGGTTTATATATCTTCTTATGGAAAAAGTGAGGCCTTGTAATGAAAATAATGTCCAGTCATTGGCCCTAATTAAAAAGTTTAGCGCTTAGTCTGTGTTCTCTTCAGTAGGTTCTTTTAGAGTAAAATTTGTCTCCGAAGACATCTTTAAGGATATTCACCATCAATCAAAAATTCATACAGCTCTTTAAATATCCATGCGGTGTAACTCTGCAAATATTTTTCAGTAATTGTGTTGATTTAGATGTAGAGAATGATTTGCAAATGAAATATTAGATTAATTTATTTGGGCTGAAGAGTGATATTGGAATGTTCTGAAAAGCGTTACCTGAAATTCTGTCATGTCCTAAAAATGCCAATTTAGTTTATTGCTTTATTTTGTCACCTTTTTGAATCGTTTTGCTATTCATCAAATTTGTTGTTAAATGCTTTATGGAACAATTGCATAGCTACTGTACTTTCTGTTTCTGAGGGCAACAAGAAATTCCTATATAGCCATTTTTAATTGAGGAAAAATAAGTTCTGTTTGTGGCAATGAGAGAAGTATCTTATTTAAAAATTATATTGTACTGAGAGAAATTTTGTGGATTTTTGGATGTAAATTTTGTGAACACACCTGAAATAAGCTGTAGGTGTTGTGCATGCATGAAGCAGTCTGTCCATTTAAAGTTGGCTTTGATTTTAAACAATATGACTTTTTTCCTTCTCCAGAAAAACGATCAGGGACAAGTTTTGTTGGATATAGTGTTCAAACATCTCGATTTGACAGAGAGGGATTACTTTGGTTTACAGCTGGCTGACGATTCCACTGATAACCCAGTAAGTTGCATCTGTTTTCTTAACTAATTTTTTTTGCATGTTAATAGAGTTTAGGGATTTTGTTTCAGTATTCAGAGAATTTGATTAATATTTTTGGAGTTCTTATCTAATTCTTATGTCCATGACAGCTGATATATTCAGTAGACTCAATTTTTTTTAACAAATCTGAAATATGGCATAAGTATTCTTTGATATGCTTCAGAAAGAACTGTCTCTATTCTGTTCTTTAGATAAAGCTGTTCCATGAGTTATTCTTACGGGTGCAAGTCTTCACCTGGTATCTCTCACACTGGAAAACTATTTCCCCCCAAACAATTAAATTATGGTTGTACTTACTTTCCCCTCCCATCTTGGTATTTCAAAATGTAAGAATTGGGGTCAACCTTTTTTTTTAAAAGATTGTTTGAGAGGCCTCTTGAGATTCTGAGAGAACACTATGGAGTTCCCTCTAAGGATATGCCTAAACTAGTTTTGTGACTAACTCAGGTTAAAATGGGACCACAAACTTTATTCTAGACAAACCCTAAGACAACACAGAAAGTTCAGGGCTTGGGTATCTTGTAAAGAAGGCAGGTCAGTTGGGGGATATAGGAGAAGCTGGATTCGAGAGAAGTCCTCACTGATTTTCCCTGCGTCTGGTAACCAGATGCCCCAGGTTCTGATCTCTTCCGTTCTGTCCAGCTCTTGTAGGTCTGCCCTGATGCTATTTTCTTTCATGCTGGAGAAGTCCTTTTTGAAGCATACTTCCCTTTCCCTTCACCTCCCTCTCAAGAGCGGGGGTTTCCTTAACCCCTAGAAGAGAGGTACAGGCTGGACAGACTCAGCTCATGGCTCCCTACCATCATCAATTGATCTAGGTTAGGGGCTGGCCCTAAAGATCTCTGGTGTTGCTCACTGGCGCCCTTAATATCAGAAGAGATTTGTTCTTTACAGTTAGCCTGTCTTCCCCAGGAGTCCTGTCTCTTCTGTTATATCTGAGAAGAAACTCCCATACGGGAGCAGCTGAGCTCATGAAAACTCCTTTCACTTTTTTTCTGTTAAATATAGACCCATTTGGAGCCACAACTGACCCTGATCCTTTTTTATAAAATAAGGACTGGGTGCGCAAAAACACTGAAAGCTGAATAAATCAGAAAGTTTTCAGATTTCAACTTATAATTTGTTATGTGTACAGCACAGTAAACATGCATAGGGTCTCTTTTCTTTGCCCCCGAATATTTTTAATCTGAGTTCAACTAACAGTCTGAGTTCATTCTGAGTGATGATAAATGGTAGGGTTATGATGAGGGTTTAAATAAACATAATGTGGTTGCTTTATTTGCTATATGTGTATATTGTTCATTTACCATTTTTGAATACAAAGTTGATCAATGTTAAATTTGTCACATTTTAGATTTTTTAATAAATGATTTAAGGTGCCTACATGGACACAATAGTAAGAATTTTGTACAGGAAGGCATAATAGAATAAATGACTTCATAGAGTTAGAAAGATGCAGTGATAGAGAAGAGTGGAGGTGAGATGAGGATGTGGGAAAGGAAAAGGCAGGTAGTGTGGTGATGCTGTGCAGGCACAGTTAAATCAGCCTGCAGCAATGAGGTGTGGAGTGAACTAATCAAATGGCCATTATGTGGTGAAATGTATGCAAGTTAGTTAAATGCAGTAATTAAATGGAGTGGTCTGAAGGCATTAAAGACAGGAGAAGTTTTAAAAAATAAAAAAGGCAGATGAAATGCAAACTGAGTAGGGTTTGTAGATAAAGTCATTACTAAAAGTTCCAGCCGTAACATAAATGCAGAAGACACTGATGGCACTCGTTTGCTGTCCGCTCTTGCTGTGGGGCTTTGAGAAAGTTGACTGTACTCTATCTTGAAACATGAAGCTTTAATAATCTTCTTATGCAGTGCTGCCAAGGAAGAAAGTTTCTGCTGTGTAGAATAGCCTTTTTCTCCATTGCTCAGAAGGTTTTAATGGATTTGTGGCCTTTAACTACAACGATGACATGCTCTGTCTAGTTTAAAGAAGGTGGGGATGGTCCCAATTTCTATAGCGCACAGGCCCAAAAATTCTGTAATCTGACCCTGCCTTACTATATACTTGAGCCTAAATATGGCATTTACTCGAGCAGTGGAAGAAGAATTGCACAGTTTAGGTTACCTGGTTGTCAAAGTTTAGTGAAGACTTAAAGAGGATCTTAAGGCTTCAAGCCACTTCGCCAAAAGCGTGGAAACACTTTCAATGGAATGGAATGGGATGGTAATATTCCAGCTAGTTCTTCAGATTATTCTCCTGCTCTAACTGGGATCACTGTCTTACTTGGGTTCAGTTTGAGTTCGGTGTTCATTCAGGTGATGACCTGTAGGCATTGTGACACGTATATGATGTTGATCGTTGTGCCTGGGTAACAAAATGTACATCTGGGCATCATCAGCATACCGATGACAGCAGAGTTTGTGGCACCTCTGAAATTCTCCAAGTGGTCTCATGTAGATATTTGAGGTGGAAGGACAGAATAGATCCCTATGGGCCTCCACAGGTGAGAAACTTTTAAGAGGAGGACCATTTGCTATCATCATATAAGTGGGTCAGCAGAACCTCGTGGCTAACTTTGTCAAAAACCTGCAGAGAGATAGAATAGGTACAGGTTTGGCGACAAAGTGTTAATGCTTATAGTCACCAAGTGAAAGCTGAAATGAGTATGTGACTCTTGTTAAATCTCTGTATACTGAATTGAACGATTGTCTTTAGCTGGGGTACAAGGTAGTTTCCATATTATTTGGCTACCAGTTAAAAAAATTGATTTTCAGATTATGCGTATACATAGAAGATAGTTTTTTTTTATTCCAGTCCAAAACTGTACACATCTCTGAATCCATTATATGTTGTGTAGTCCAATATCTAGCAAGGAGAATCAGTTTATTGCCCTAAAATAATGAATAAAAGACTTTTCTGAGCATGACAGTGTATAATCATAGTTTACATGCCTTGAGTGGCAGTGAGTTCTAACCTTAGAAATATCAAAATCAAAGTTAGAAAAATACTAATTGTTGGATCTAATGGTAACTTTCAATTATGTCTTTTATTATTGCTGTTCTGTTTGTTATGGTTAGAATGTTTGTGCAAGAATTTTCATTGTAGTTACTGGTTTGTAATCATCTAGAAGACACTTCGTGATACAGTGTGGAAGGCACTATAAGCACAAAGTAACCTACAATATGGCTAAAACTCTGACAGTGTAATTTTGAGTTACTTGGGACAGTTTAAGGCAGGAGTGGCCAGTTCCAACTTTTTCTTCTGTCTAGCAACTCCCTCTGTTGTTTACAAAAGTTATCCAGCCCACATCAGAGCATCTGCTCAGAGCATCTGAGAGGAAGGTGGGATTGGGAGGAACATTATACCTGACAGGGCACAGGTACTGAACACCTCCTCCTTCCTCTTCTCCCCCTGTACAGCCAGCAGCACTGCAATATTGCATAGATGAGACTCAAATGAGGCTCTTTGCCCGCCTCCCACACCCTTTGCCCCTGCCAGCACTGCCAAAGCTATGCAAGAGCGGAGTCCTTCTGTCTAAACCTCCATACTCCACTCCATACAGTCACTGAGCCATGCAGCACCAGAGCAAAGATGAGGCTTCTTTTCAGTCTCCTTCCTTCACATCTGCTGCTACTGCCACTGCTGCTGAGTTTACAGGATTAATGGAATCAGCTGCTTCTCTGACCTCTTCAGATGGAACATGAAGCAGAGGGAGAAACTCCCAAAGAGAAGGGGAAGAGGAGAGACTCCCTCGGGTATGGAATTCCTAAATATGGTGGGGGGTAGGAAGGAGAGCTGGCATTAATATACAAAATGAAACTGCAGATAGGGGAAAGTCTCAAAAAAGGTGGAAGATTGAGTTGATTTATCAGGGTGGAATGCACAGAAACGTAAGTTGATGAGGAGAGGAAGAAATGTTTCATACATACCTTTATTCAAAAGAGAGAAAATAATTGTCTTTAACAGATCTCGGTTGGGGCTTCTTGATCAGGGTTGGGCAAACTTTTTGGCCTGAGGGCCACATCAGGGCTCCAAAACTGTATGGAAGGCTGGGTGGGGAAGGCTGTGCCTCACTAAACCATAACCCTATCTGCCCTCTCCCACTTCCCAACCCCTGACTGCCCCCCGCCCCCCAGAACTCCCGACCTATCCAACCCCCCCTACTCCTGGTCCTCTGACCGCCCCCTCCTGGGACCCCACCGCCTATCCAACCTCCCTGCTCCCTGACTGCCCCGACCCCTATCCACACCCCCGCCCCGACAGGCCCCCTGCGTCCCCACCCCCCCTCTAAAGCCCCTTTCAGAATGCGGCCCTGCGAACATAGGCGGAGGACTCAGGAGGAGCGGGGCAGCCGCGCAGCCGGAGAGAAGTGGCAGTTTCCCCTTCAAAGCATCGCTTCTCTCTACCCAGCTGTGTGGCTGCCCGGTGCTCCTCCTCAGTCCTCCGCCCGCGCACCCGCACTGCCTGCCTGCTCCCCTGAGGCTGCAGGTGAGCCTCCCTTCCTGCTCTCCTCTGCCCCCACAGTGCAGCCCCCTCCTGTGCTGGGGTCGTGGTGCGCTGAGGCTGTGGGGGAGGGGGGAAAAGCGGGGAAGAGGCCGGGAGCTCAAGGGCCAGGCTGGACGGTGGATGTGGCCTGCAGGCTGTAGTTTGCCCACCTCTGTTCCAGATGCTTCTGTAAAACATTTAATTAATAAATAATTAAATGCAGTATTTAACTTAGCTATGCACAAACTAAAATTGTACAAACTGCTAAGTTTGTCTCTTGTCAATGAACTTTTTATTCCCAACCCATGGACTGTAACTGAACAGGTAGTTCAGCCCTTGCCACTGAGGCCTTATCTAATCAAGGATTTCAAGGCGTGATGTTAGCATGTTAGTTAGTGTGTGCTAACTCAGTGGTTCTCAACCAGGGGGCTGGGCCACCCTGTGGGGCTGCGAGCAGGTTTCAGGGGGGCCACCAAGCAGGG